AAACCGAAGCTTGCAAGAGAGTTAGTTACAAAAAATTTAGGGGGTCGAGCAAAGGCTCTTCTCTCCATAGAAAATTCCTTGACAACGCCAAGGAACTTCTGTCCAATGTAACATGACACTTCCTCGTTACTTTTTAATATATAGGGTGATAGAAGTTGAGAAGTCTGCCTGCGAAAAAGGGAAGAAAATATTTTATACTTTATAAAAAATAATAAAATGATTAAAAATATTAGAAAAGGAAAACTCCACGGATGATTTAAATTCACAATGGTATGAACTTCAATTATCTTCCACATATTTTTAAAAATATGTTCACGATTTCAAATTTTTTTCAAGAGTCTTCATTAATTTTCAAAATTCTTCAATGCGTCTTCAAGACATTTTTTTAGAATATATATTAAATACTTTTGAAAAAATGTAAACCATATTCAGGAAAATGTGAGATTTTTATTTGAATATTTTTCTAAAACAAAATATTTTTTAAAATAGAATATTAAATTTTCAGGATAAAATTATTGAATATTTGAATAACTTAGAAAATATTCAAATATTTTCATAACAATGCGAATATTTATTAAATTATTAGAATATTTCAATTTAATATTCTTTTTTAAAAATTGTTTTTTAGTGAAAATATTCTGAAATTGTAAAAAACTCATTGTCCTTTTACTATAATAGAATTTGTTCGGCTGTCTCTGTCACCCTCTATTGGATTTAGATTTGGTGTCTATTTCTAGTATAAGTATTGAGTGCTTATTTCATTTAAGTCATTAAAATTTATATCAGTAATTTTAAATTCATATTCCACCTAAGATTAATAAATGTTGAGTTTATTTAAATAGTTAATTTAGATTTCAAAGGCTCAAATGGGACATGTATTACTTTGTCAAGTGAGAGGAACTCCAAACATGACTCTTTGATGCTCTGGCTAACTAAGGCCCTGATTGCTCTGCTTTATCTTCCCTTCTCTTTGAAATTGGTGATGTAGGATTGATGTGTTCTTGTTTTTCTATTCTGTAACTTCATCGTTGAAGGATTATTCACTTTTCTAACTCTAACAAATTGGCTTGTAAGTCCACTTAAGTTTAGGGTGGAGGAATATAATGGTAGTCTTCCTGCTCTTGTTTTAAATCTATACTTATGGATTAAGGTTATTTCAAAACTTTGATTGAATTGTAGCAGTTCTTCGATTTAAAATCTCTATGCTGGTTTATAGCATTTTTGCTTGTTGGTCATTGATGTCAGATTTCCAGTGTCATTCTTTTAGATTTACCCACTAATACTGGGTTCTCTCACACAACACTTCCCACCGCCACTCAGTGTAGTGACTCTAAACAAATCCAACATGCCGTTTGATTTTTCAAGAAGGTACTATAGTCTCTGTGTGTGTGTGTATATATATATGTATTTAACATGGATAACTTTTTTACGTTAAGGAGAGAAAAAGAAAAGCTATCCCTGCAATCCTTAGTACTCTAAATATTTAACTATTGTTTCTCATCAAGTGGCTAGCTGTTCACCCAAAATTTCAATCAAACTCAATATACCTTAGTGGAGACTTGTATATTGGATTTATTGTCCCTTTTAAGAGTGTTCAATTTGAATTCATTTCGATTGGTCTAATATCATTCCGATTGTATCGAGACGGGTCACGTCCTAGCTCAAAAATAATATAGACGGGATATAAAAGGGATTACCATCTGCACGTCTTGTCCCGTCCTAAATATTATATATATTATTTTTTATTTTAAAAATTTATATTAAAATATATTAATTATATTAATATAATTTATACTTTATTAATTATATCAATTATAATTTTAATACTTATAATTCTTATATAAAATTAAAGTTTTTTATATTAATAATTTTAATGATATAGAGTAAACAGAGTGAAATATTTCTTTATAATATATTAATTATATTAATACAATATATATATATATATATCTATTTAATAACTTTTTTTATATTGTATTTCTTGTTTCATTTTCTAAAGAATAGTTAGCCTAGCATATCTCAGCTAAAGTAGAAGAATAATGATTTGATATTGTACTTAACTTATTTATTGTTCCTGCTTTTATAGCCTAGAGACCACTTATAATTATTATCATAATGTGTAGTTGTGATTAATATAATTCAATAATTGACTTTAAATTATGGTAATTTATGTACTTGTGTTGTTTTGATTTAAAATTTAATAAATTATATTATTTAAAATTTTAATAAATGTTATTATTTAAATTTTTCTCTGACATTATCAAATTTATTGAGATGGCAGAACCTCCCGATCTCATCTTGATTTATAACGAGACGGGATGACTTTTGAGACGAAACAGGACAGAAGACGAGACAAAAATTTAGTCTTGTTTTTTTTTGGGATGGGACACTAGACAGTAGTATCCCGATCCCATTTCATCTCGTGAACACCTTTAGTCCTTGTGGTCCTTGAAATTTTGAAAGGTACGTCCACTTCTCATCTTTCAACCACATAACACAGCGACATAATTTTCCTTGAGACCCTGCAGTGCACTGAGCAAAAGGATGAAGTACATGGATATAAATTTATACCTGTAATAGCTGAGTTCTTGATTTCTAGAAGGTTGAATGGAGATAAAAGCTAATAACAGCAAGATAGTAAAGTTTTTTAAAACTCTGGTTTTGCAGGAAATGAGAATAGTATAGAGACTTCAATTAATTTCAAGGCATGTTCTTAAATTTCCTTCTCTAGACATAGGGGTCTCATGATCACTATCCCTAACTTTAAGATGTTGATCTCATTATTAATTATCAAGGGATACTTGCTGGGAAACCCTAGCACAGACAATGCTATAGATCAGAACCATAAGATTCCATTTGCTCACGGGATGGGGCTCATTCCTGATAAACTCTGTGAGGTGATTTCTACATAAAGATATCGATATACCTGGCAACATCTAAAGATGAAGGGTTGTTATTGATCAAATAAATCAATCCGTGCTTGCAGTCATTGAAAAGCAGCTGTGGGGGAGAGTATCATAATCTAGATCGAGATTTATCGGCATATGAAAAGGTAAGCATTGATAATGAGTTGGTGTTTATTTGATTAATTTGGTTTTTCTTTTCATCATGTATGTGGTAATGTGTCTGCCAGTGAGGATTTTAAATTTTAGTGTGTCTCAGGATTAAGTGAAGCTCATGATTTGCAACGCCGATGTCCCTTTATTTCTCTAAAACCACAGAAGTTCTCTGGTAGAAGATCTCCTGATGAGATAGCTGAATCCTTCCTCACCTGTTCTGAATACCCTTTGACGAATAAAAGTTACTTGAAGTTACCCTATCTTAATTAACTTTAAAATCCAAACTTCGCAGCGACAAGTTTATCATCTTAATACTCATCTTGAATTGGATCCGTTGATCATTTGAATTTAAAGTACAGGGGACTCAACCACACTATCATATGGCAATATATATTGACCAAAATAGTAATTTATATATAATTATAAGAATATTTTTAACAACTTCGCGCGAGTTAAAAATTTTAGCATTAGTCGGCTATGTTTTTTAATTCATGCAAAATTTTAGCAAATTTGCTTATAGGAAACAAGCTTTTAATACTACCTCTGTTTTAAATATAAATTTTTTACAAAGCATTTAAAAAAATGCCTTGGAACATGCGCTCATGGATTTCTATCTCATCCAAGGAGGACAACCGAGCAACTATTTGATAACGTTTGTCCCGATGGATGAATAGATTTCAGCTTTTATCCAAAAAAAAGAACGTGTTGGAAACGTAGGACACCACGCTATGTCGGACAGATGCCCGTGTTGACAGACTTGAGGCTTGACTGACTGGAGCCTGGAGAATTTGAAATGCACCTGGCTTCTCTCCATGTGCCCCTCTCTTTATTTTTTTAACTTTTCATTCTAATTATTAAATTTATTTTTAAATAATTGAGAGTTAATGTTTTTATAAAATTATTATTAAAATATAAAATTTTATAACAATAAATAAATAAATTAATTTTATAAAATATTAATCTCAATCATTTAAAAATAAATTCAATAATTGAAATGGAAAGTGGAGAGAAAATGAGAAGAGAAGAAAATATAGAGAAGCTAAATCTATTTGGAAATGATTACACCATTATTTCCTCCTGTCCCATTATGTTTTAGCAAAAAAAAAGTTTGGTATTTAATATAAAATTAAGGAATAAAAATATCCCAATTTTAAAAAAAAAACACTAACTATTTTTATCTTTTAATTGGAATAACGTTATCTCAAATTTTTTTCAAAAAGTGTATTTTGATCATTAAATAACTTAGTTTGACCAATAGATACCCTATAGCATTTAAAAAAATAAATAAGAAAATGTCTTTTCCTTTTCTCTTCTCTACCCAGTGAGATTGAGATGGAAGCTTCAGCTCATCTGCAATTTTTTTTTTTTTGCCATGTGTGTCCAACTCAACTCACCCCCATTTAACTAGTTCGTTGTGATTTTTCTTTTTTTGTCAAACCAAGTGATTTAATAGTCAAAATATATGATAGTAAATGTTAGAGTGATATTGCATTTTTTTTTTAAATTTGGGAATAATATCAACCCAACTAAAAGGTGATAATACTTAGTATTATTTTCAAAAAACTTTTGAATTATTTTTACCTTTCAATCCTTTAATATAAGGTAATTATATTCTTTTTAATATTACTACCATTTGAATTCATTAACTATGAAAAAAATATAATGCAAATTTTTAAAATTTTTGTTTAAATATAAATAAAATTAAAAATATATTATATTTAAATATAGATAAAATTAAACACTTACAATATTTTTTTACACAAAGTTATCCATTTACTTAACCACTTCTTCGGTTCGCTGAGGAGGCGGTGATAAAGACTGGAGAAATACATCATCAATGCTACTATCAATGGTAATGCAAAGTAAGCACGATGCTCTTCATTCGTCTCTCACACTATCACCTCCGAGAAGATGCCACGGAATATATAATTATTTTATTTGAAGGGCGAAGACTAATAACTCCGATGATTTTGATCCCCTATCACACCCTTCAGGTTTCTCAAATGCTGATCATGACAGGATTCGTTCACGATTGCGTGCTTGCCTTTGCCTTTGCCTTTCCCGAGTCCAGCTCATTTAACTCGCCGCTCTTAACTCTTAAACTTGTCCATCGTTCTAACGTTTCCAGATCACGAGTCCGTATCGCAAACAAATGAGCAGGACAACACTCCGAATCAAGCCAATGGCTGCTGCTTCTTCGACTTCCCCAGTTTCTTCATCCTTCCCAGTAACTCTGCTGCTTCTTCTTCTTCTTCTATCTACACAGGATTGCCCCACTTTTGCAGTCTCTCGCTCAACTGCTGCGTTTCTTCCTGGGTTTCAAGGGCCCCTTCCTTTCCATCTTGAAACTGGGTACGTTCCTGTTCATGGTTTCTCTGAGAAAGTAGAAACCATACTTTGTGACGTCTGTCGTGTTGACTGTTACTGTTAATGACATTTAATAATGCATGACGAAAACAAAATACTATTTAAGGTATGTGGGAGTTGGAGAATCAGAGGGTGTGCAGCTTTTCTACTACTTCGTCAAGTCAGAGCGAAATCCCAGACAAGACCCTCTGATTCTCTGGCTAACCGGGGGCCCTGGTTGCTCGGCTTTATCTTCCCTTCTCTTTGAAATAGGTAACACGGGGATCGCAATGTTCTTGTCTATTTTGTTCCAGAACTCCATCGTTTTAGGATTATTCACTTTTCTAACTCCACTAAATGGTCTTTAAGGTTCGCTTCATTTTCGGATGGAGGAATATAACGGTACTCTGCCTACACTTGTTTTAAATCCAGACTCATGGACCAAGGTTATTTCATAACTTTGACGAACTCGTAGCGATTCTTCAATTTAAAACTTATATATTATGGTCCATAACATTTTTGCTTGCTGGTGATTGATGGTCAGGTTTCCAGCATAATTTTTGTAGATTTACCTGCTCATACTGGATTCTCCTATACAACATTCCCCATTGCTCCTCAGCGGAGTGACTCTAAACAAATCCAACATGCCGTTCAATTCTTAAATAAGGTACTACATATATTTACCACGCATAACCTTTTCTTTTTCATAACAGGGGGAGTATCTTCTTTCGTTTTGTCATTTACCATACATGACTAAGGTTATTTCATTATAAATGATTAACTGTTTTTCTTGTCCAGTGGTTGACTTTTCACCCGGAATTCCACTCGAACCCAATGTACATTGGCGGGGACTCATATTCTGGAATGATTGTCCCTGCAGTTGCCCTTGAAATCTCCAAAGGTAAGCCTGCTTCTCATCTTTCATGCACATAACACTAAGGCAATATTCACGGTTAATTTTCCTCAAGACTCTGCACATGGTCAAAGGATGAAGGGTGAAACGTTCTGTTAGATGTAAGATTGTACGTGTGATAGCTGAGTTCCTAATTTTTAGAACGTTCAAAGGTGATTAAAAATTAAGATAGCAAAGTTTTTGAATGCTGTGGTCTTGCAGGAAATGAGAACGGTTTAGAGCCTTCAATTAATTTACAGGTCGGTAATTATTTATGTTCCTAAATTTCCTTCCCTAGACATAGGGGTCCCTTCATTGTCTCCAACTTTAGCTGATAGTGACCTGGTTGTAATGAAGGGATATTTGCTCGGAAACCCCTCAACAGACGGTTCTATAGATGACAACCATAGGATCCCATTTGCTCATGGTATGGGACTTATTCCCGATGAACTCTATGAGGTAATTAATCTCTAGAGACATCAATGGGTTGGACTTAAAGATGAAAGGTTTATTACTGATCAAATCAATCAATATGTCCTTGCAGTCATTAAAAGAAGTTGTGGGGGACAGTATCAAAATGTAGATCCCAGGAATAAAATGTGCGCCGGATATATTGCAGCATATCAAAAGGTAGGCAATGATATTAAGTTGGTGCATGCTTGGATAATCTTTCTTTCTTCATGATCTGTAGCAATGCTTATCTGCCAATTTTAAATTTCAGTGCGTTTCAGGAATAAATTTCGCACATATTTTGGAACCCACATGTTTCTTTGCTTCCCCAAAACCACAGAAGTTCTCTGACAGGAGATCTCTCGATGGAATGCCTGTATCCTTGCTCGCCTCAGACCCTCAACCATCACTTCCTCCTATAGCATGCCGAGTAATTTCACAATCTGCTCCACTGATATTCCTTTTCTGGTTCTATATCCTACCTTTATTAACACGACAAGAAAAGATGCAGCTTCTGTTTAAGCACTTGTTTACTGACTTGAATTATGAATTGATTCGTAATGATGTTTATTTCATGTAGAATTACCAAGGTTTGCTATCTCAGTATTGGGCAAATGATGGTTCTGTTCACAAGGCCCTTGGCATCCGTCAGGTATGAGAATGATAAGATTCCTTGACCAGTTGACTTCACATTTTCATAGTGATCAAGAAGCAAGAAAACGCGTCTTTGAGTCAGTGAGTGTAATTTTGATGCTAAAACAGGGAAGCATAGGGAAATGGGTGCGATGTATTAAGACACCTTATACCAAAGAAATTGAAAGCAGTGTTCCATTTCATGCGAGCTTGAGTGCTAAAGGTTACCGTGCGCTCATATACAGGTCAGGCAAATGGCTGTACGTGAATTACTAGTACTAGTACTGCCTTTGGAAAATTGCTGATGGTGACTTCGAATTCTTGTCATTTGGTTTTTCTTGGTAGTGGAGATCATGACTTGGTTGTCCCGTTTCTGGGAACTCAAGCGTGGATAAGATCTTTAAATTACTCCGTTTTAGATGAGTGGAGGCCATGGTTAGTCAAAGGCCAGGTCGCTGGGTAAGCATTTAGACAGACACAACAGTTGTTTCTTATTTTAATCCAACATTTGCGAGATGATGTGATTTGGTGTTGCTGGTTGTTGTGCAGTTACACAAGGACATATTCAAATGAGATGACGTATGCGACTGTCAAGGCAAGAAACAGCGTCTCAGTGTCACTTTAAAGAATTATGGTTTAGGGCGATGAATTTCATATTCATTTTACGTGTTCAAATTAATTTGCAGGGTGGAGGGCACACTGCTCCGGAGTACAACCTGAAGAATGCTTTGCAATGTTTGAGAGGTGGATTTCTCATAAACCATTATAATTTTGAAGTATTGATCTGCTGAAAGTTCAAGCTTCTCGATCGCCCATCTTTTAATCAAGCAATCCCATTTGAAGGATGAAATCAGATGCTAGTATATCAGTCTGTCAGTTAATTTGAAAGTCCCTAAATTATTGAACAGCTTTGTGTTTGTTTATCTTTCTTTTCTGCAAAAATTGATTTTCCACCATCTTCTCTATTTAAATAAATCATTTGACATTCTGACTTCTAATAATCTTACGTGCATGTGGCGTTCAATGCATCCAATATTTGTTTTGTTATACGTTATAGACGTTATAATATAATGCTAGGTCGTTGCCCGTAAGTAACGCGCTGCATGGCTCGAGTACAGTGATAAGTGAGTTAGAGCCGCTGCATCGGCGCCCGGATGTAGTGTTAAATGAGCAAGGGCTACCGCGTCATTCTGGACACACGCGGCTAAAGAAGTTAGTCCATAAGAGCAAAATTAGATTTGGTACTTGGAATGTTGGGGACATTAAATTGTAAATCTGTAGAGGTTGTAGGGGTTATGATTCAAAGGAAAATCAATATCATTTGCTTGCAAGAAACAAAATGGCATGGAGAAGAAGCTAAGGATATTCAAGGTTTCAAACTTTGGTATACAGGAAAAGTAAGTGCACGCAATGGAGTAGGCATCATTATAGATAAGGAGTGGAAGAAGAACGTTGTAGCAGTTAGCAGAATTGGAGATAGAATTATTTCTTTAAAAATGATAATTGGACGTGAGACTGTTAATATTGTTAGCGCTTATGCGCCGCAAGTCGGGACAGAAGCCAGTCTTAAAGAATTATTTTGGGAGGATCTAGAGGGGTTGATTCGACACATACCACAGAGTGAAAAGATTTTTATTGGAGGAGACTTTAATGGGCATGTCGGGAGGGAAGCTGGTCAGTATGCGAGGGTGCATGGTGGTTTTGGTTTTGGAGAGCTAAACAATGAAAGACAAACTCTTCTTGATTTCTCATTGGCGTATGATTTTAAGATTGCCCAACTTGTTTCAAGAAGAGAAGATGAGCATCTCATCACTTACAAAAGTGGAGCCTCAAGGTCGCAGATTGATTTTCTTTTGGTTAGGAACACAGATAGAAAACTTTGTAAAAATTGTAAGGTGATACCCGAGATGCTGTAACGACACAACATAGGGTTCTAGTCCTTGATGTGTGTATTATGAGTAAAATCCAAAAACGTCGACACAAGTATTAACACCAAGGATTAGGTAGTGGCAATTAAAAGGTGAGAAGCAAGATATTTCAAGCGAAATCTTTTGGATAAAGGAATTTGGGATTCTTAGGGAAGTGCTACATTATATGGGAGGATATGGCTAAAAAGATATGGGAGGTTGCAAAAGTAGTTTTGGAGAATCGAAAGGTTCTGGTCCGAGAGATAAGGAGTCTTGGTGGTGGAAAATAGTGTACAGGACAAAATCAAGTATAAGAAGAACTGTTTTAAAGCCATACATTTGTGTAACAATGAGGAAAATTGGGAGAGGTACCGTATGGCTATGGAGAAGGAAACTAAGAGAGCTGTGGGTGAAGCTCGTTCTAAAGCTTTTGAAGAATTTTATAAGAACCTTGAGACGAAGGAAGGAGAGCAAAATATTTATAAGATTGCCAAGAGTAGGGAAAGAAAATCAAGAGATCTAGAACAGGTAAGGTGTATTAAGGATGAAGAGGGAAGAATTTTAGTTACAGATGATGAATTAAAAATAGATGGGAGACTTATTTTTCTAAACTTTTCAATGATGGAGAGGATTCATCTAGTAACTTGGAGGATTTAGTAACTGGTGAAGGAGAACAAAATTTGTCATTCTATCGAAAAATACGTAATAAGGAGGTAAAGGAAGCTCTTAAGAAAATGGCAAATGTTAGAGCCAACGGACCTGATTGTATATCTATCGAAGCGTGGAAATGTTTAGGTGAAGAAGGGGTGAGATGGTTAACTAAGTTATTTAATGTGATTTTACGGTCCAAGAAAATGCCTGATGAGTGGAGGAGAAGTACATTAATTCCTATTTATAAAAATAAAGGAGATATTCAGAATTGTACTAACTATAGAGGGATTAAACTCATGAGCCACACAATGAAATTGTGGAGAGAAAGTAATTGAGCATAGGTTGAGATTGGAGACAAGTATTTCTGAGAATCAATTTGGTTTTATTGCCAGGGGTAGATCAACTACAGAGGCGATTTATCTACTAAGGGGATTAATGAAAAGTATCGTTGTTGTAAAGATAAAGATCTACACATGGTTTTTATTGATTTGGAAAAAGCTTATGACCGTATACCAAGAGAAGTGCTTTTGGAAAGCGTTGGAAAAAAAGGGAGTACGGATTACTTATATTAAAGCCATACAAGATATGTATGAGGGGGTAAAAACTAGTATAAGAACGCCTAGTGGTCAAACAAAGGATTTTCCTACAAAGATTGGACTACATCAGGGATCATCTCTGAGTCCTTATTTGTTTAACTTGATTTTAAATGTTTTGACGGAACATATTCAAGAGGAAATCCCGATAA